TTTTCTGGGCAAAATAATTTCTTATCCCTTTGTTTCCTCTGTGCCCTGCAGGAGAGTCGTTCCATGCAGCAGACCATGCAGGCCCTGCAGAATGAACTGGACAGCCTGAGAGCAGACAACATCAAACTCTATGAGAAAATCAAATTCCTGCAGAGCTATGCCAGCAAGGTGCGTGTGTTTGTGATTGCTTGAATAATGGTGCTCTACGTTGGTCACGTTCTTGTCTTTAATATTATGTTGATTTGAACCCTGAAATATTTAGTTTACTGTTTTCACTGTGCCGTAGGCTGGAAGTAGTGATGACACTGTGATGCGTTACTCCTCCCAGTACGAGGAGAAACTGGATCCATTTGCTTCTTTCAGCAAGACGGTACAAGACGCACACCTTAACTACACACACAAGATCTCTGAAAGCCTCTGAACCAATCTGCTATGTCTTGATCCATTTTGGTGGAAGACAGGTTGAGATATTTCCAGCCACCAGTTCTAGTTTCACAGTTTCCATTTTTATTAATTTATTAATAATGATGGCATGTAAGCAACACATGATTTCGTTTTTTGGGTTTTTTTGAAAATGATTCTGGGAAATGTAGGAGCTGAATTAGAGGTAGATAAATATATATTCTATGCAGGGAAATTGTACCCCATTACTCAAATTCACTGACTGAACTCGCTGAAGTAAATGCACCGAACAGCACAGACTGGCATTATGACAAATGTAAAAGGATCTGAAAGGGTGAGACACCAAAAGAGGTCAGATGGTGAGACTAACTACTCTGTTTGCAGGAACGTCAGCGCAGATACCTGAGCCTCAGCCCTTGGGATAAAGCAACCCTGAGCCTGGTAACCTCATTCGCACACACCACTTGTACATTTGTTGCAACTTCTTGTCTCTAACCCTTGTGCTTTTTGATTTTTGTAAGGGGCGAGTGATTCTCTCCAACAAGACAGCCAGGACCATTGCTTTCTTCTACACCCTGTTTCTGCATTGTTTGGTTTTTCTGGTAGGTCTCCTTATTAATCTGATATGTGTGTGTGTGTGTGTGTGTGTGTGTGTGTGTGTGTGTGTTCATGTTTAAAGAAACATGACGGACCTGAGTGTTTTTGTTTTGTTTTGTTTTTTCTTTTTTCAGGTGTTGTACAAGGCGGCTTGGAGCGAGAGTATTGGCAGAGACTGCTCCACATATTGTGCTAAAAAGTGAGCATCTCCCACAGCTGTATCTGACATCGTGTGTGAAACGAACATGCCATTTCAATCCTAACAAATTAGTAATGTTCCTAATTTTCCCTGTTGCTCTGTAACTTGCAGGTATGCTGACCACCTCCACCGTTTCCATGGCGACAATCAGAACCTCTAAGATGTGCCATGGTAGTATCATCACATCCCAGTGAGATGGGACATGCTGGATGGTTGAGCAGAGTGCACCTCTTGCACACATACTGACCTGTTAAAGTCATGAAAGACAGAGCTTTACTTCTGTTCCTGCAGCAGCAGCATCTCCACTAGGGGGCAGCTTAGGGCTCGAAGCTGCAAATCGAAGGGTTGATTGATTCCAGCACTGGGTCTTTTTGTTTTTATTTAGTTGCAACTAATATACGAGTCTAACATATCTCAAGTTTCCTTGATTAACTGTTAAAATCATTATCAGTTCATGTAATATCTGCTGTTGGAGCACAAATCTATTGAAGTCAAGCTCCTGTAAAGGGACCACAATCATGAGGAATTCTTATATTTTGTTCTGAGTGTAACTGGAATTTTGATTGGAGAATATTGGTGATATGGTTAACACAATTTGTTTGGTTAGAAAACACTGAAGCATGTATATTTTGTGAAGGTGGGTTATTGAGGAAGAGTTGGATATCTTAAGAGGTTGGTGGTGGCACAATACATAAAGTAGTTATAGGGATGTTTTTCCATTCCTCTTGCCTTGAGATTGACTAATATGGGAGTTGGTAAATATAGTTTTAAATGACTTGTGGCAGAGAAATCCCCTTGTTACTGCTATTAAGAGATCATTTGCTCCTCACCTGACAAGTGGGGGTTTGCAGTAGTAATACATCAATGGTTACTGAGCCTGTGATCCTGATATTCTTCTGCAAGGTAAATCACTTTGCATGTTTGCCTGCTTGCTTCTTCCTTTCCCGATGGGCATTGTGGATATATTCCAAATAAAGACTATGTAATCATTTTCCCTGTGTATTATTTTCATTTAAAATGTTGTTTTCCAGTTTGCACATGATCTTTAAATTAGAACAGGTTTGCACTTTGCAACAAGTTTATTTTGTTTCATTTGCTGTTTAAGGAGAAATCCATCTTATTCTGTTTCTCTTATTTTCAACCAGCCAATGAAAAGCCTAGAACCAATCATGAATTCGTCTAACATGCGTTGTCACTGTAGCTGAGGCCTGATACAGCTGATCCCTCTGTGCTGTAGTGTGACTGGTGTGGAGGGAGGAGTGGACTGATCCAGTATGTGTTCGTATTGGATAACGTCAGCGGCCCCGTCACTGAGAATCACTGCCACAGAGCTCCATAGCTCCGTAAAACGATTACAAACACATCAGTGAACAACACTGTTGCACTGAGTCACATGCTCATTACCATCAACATGGATATTGTAGTTATTGCCATCCTGCTGCTGGAAGTACTCCCCGAAGCACCAAATCAATACACAGATAAAAATAATCCCCACTAAACTGACTTCTGCTTGAGTAATATTAGCTAGAAACTACAGCGCCAAGTTGTTTGTTTTAATTACTTTGCCTTTTAAGGTCCATCTACAAAACCCTTTTCTTAAGGCTCATGTTTTCCATAGGACTGAATGCTCTGTAGTGCCACAGACGGACTGGGGAGGGCCTCATGTAATGCACTTATTCAGTGTTAGGTCTTTTCATGGAGTGGTGTCTTATTTTTCCATAAGTTATGATGGAGCTGAGACAGATGATAATGCACTGTTTAACAGCTGAACTAAAGGGAAGACTACCGCCTGCACTGAAACACACACACAGAGGGGATGAACGTTTTGATCAGTGGTTCAAGGCCTCAGCAAGTCCCACTGATAGCTGCCCACATCTGAGTGACTGAATTAGACTGCATTATTCACGAGAAGCCTTTTCTTAAAGAGCACTTCAGCTCCTAGCCATTACAGACTAACAGAACACACACACGCACACACACACACACACATTCTCCACCTCTGTCTTAAGCTTCTTAATGCTTATCAGTCAGAGCAGACTGAGCTATCTCGGCACAATTACATCATTCTGTTCTCCGGAGCACCCTTCACCTTTAACTCCAAACACACACACCTTTCCATCTCCCTTTCCTCCACATCCTTCATCTTATCTTCTGCTGCCAATAGACAGCTCCATAAATATTAACAGCCTCCATTTGTGGAATAACAAATGAGTAATCCTAATGGCCTGATGTTATTTTTACTTCTGCAGATGGATCAATTCACATGGACCCATCTTTGGTCCTAGAACTTTATTTAAAGAAGGCACACTGATGGGTCAGCGTTTTCTTTTTTGCCCTGTCATGTTCATTTTGAGACCGTTACGAGGACAAATGTCGCCCTGCAGCAGCGAGGGAGACTGACCTTACTCTAGGAGTGCAAAGAGAGGAGAGTGCGGGTTAATTTCATTGTTCCTTCATGGACAGATTCATAGATCTGTCATTTCCCTCATGGGTTCGGCAGAGGGCAGTAAAGTTGCATTTTATTAGGAATATAAATTATTCAGACTGTAGTTCCCCCTGGGTGCAGCTTTATCACCTTATCCATACTGTTGTTTTCTAAGCCTACATCAGCATATAACATATTGCAATGGGTCATTTGTGGCTGTATCAACTCTATCATCAATTGAGAAACACCAGTGATGTTTTAGATAGAAACAAGGATCATTTTATGGCTACAACTAATTTCTTTGTTGATTAATTTACTTCTTAGCTCAAAGTTAAATTCTTTTAGGGTTTTAATGAGATGGTGTGTTTACATTGTTTATACATCTCAGGATTTTTCAAAGTAGATTCTGTTATATTCTTTAGACCAAATGTCTTAAACTTAGAATATTGTTAGTCAAGTTAAAACTTGCCTAGAAAGCACAGTTTGATTTTGGTGGTCAGCAGTTTTTTTTTCCTTTTCTTTTTTGCTTAGAGACTTTGGACTTTTGACCTCAGCATTTTTAAAACATTAGCTACAGCTCTGCAGCCAGCTATTCAAAAGAATCAGAATCAGCTTTATTGGCCAGGTGTGACGGACACATGACAAATTTGACTCTGGTACATCGGCTCTCAATGTGCAAACAGTAAACCAGCATAAGGCTGTGTAATATAACAAAATAAGCAGTATTAACATCAACAAACAGTGCAAACAATGCAGAAAATGCAGTATAAACAGACGGTAAACAATGCAGACAGCAAAGGAATGTTCATTGAAATGAGATAAATAGGGATAAAAACAGAGTACTTAAAGCTAGAGACCTGTACAAGTCTCTATAATCTGTATGAGGTATATTTACAGGTATTGCACTGAGGGTTATTGTCTAATCATACTGTCGTGGGTTAAGTGTTCATCAGGGTAACAGCCTGGGGGAAGAAACTGTCCCTGTGCCTGGTTGTCTTAGTGCACAGTGACCTGTAACACTGTCCAGAGGGGAGGAGTTCAAACAGATTGTGTCCGGGGTGTGAGGGGTTTGCAGTGATCCTCTCCGCCCTCCTTTTGACCTGTGAGGTGTACAGGTACAGGTTGCTGAGCCAAACCAGACAGTGATGGAGGTGCGGAGAACAGACTTGATGATTCCTCTGTAGAACTGTATCAGCAGCTCCTGGGGCAGGTCAAACTTCCTGAGCTGGCGTAGGAAGTACATCCTCTGCTGTGCCTTCTTGGTGATGGTCCTGATGTTGGACGTCCACTTCAGGTCCTGGGAGATAGTGGAGCCCAGGAACTTGTAGGACTTTACTGCTGATACAG